TGACTGAACGGCATGTTTATTTGACTACTGTAGCTTTGTCGGAACAAAAAGGCAATTTTTTAAATTTTATTTTATTTATTTCAATTAAAGTTATGATCCCCATCTATTTTTGTCCAGTATATATACTGATGGTTTGCACACACGAGACTGGCCAGCTTCGGAAATTTTATACACTACAGAAGGAACTTTTTAAAAGGAACGCCAAGAACATTAACTCTTGCAACCCTAATTGATATTGTCATATTCTCTCACATAATACATTCGCAAATTATCTTTCAAAAATATTATTTTTAATTTTAAAAGTAAACTAAAACTCTATAAAAAGTATTCATGTATGTCTTTAAATGAAATCGGTTAATTTCTTTGAAATACTATTTAAAATAAATATGTGGACCGGTATACTGGTATACTATTTTTTTATTATTTAATCTGGTTTGTAATTGGAAATAAAAATTTATCTATTATCAATTTCCTACAATATGAGAGGTAAAATTGCGAAATTTTCCACTTTCCCTGTGTCATATTCCTTATAAATCTATAGCTACAATTTTTAATTATTTTATAAAATACTTATTAATTTTTTTCATTAAACCGGCTGTGAGTGATTCAATTCTATGAAAGATCTGGAATCGACCGCGACCACAATATTATATACTCATCGTGTCTATATAGACGTTTGGTTTCCTTCTGTATTTTTTTTTCTAGTTTTTTTTTTTTATTTTACACTTCTTAAATTGAAACAAAGAATAGCTGAAAACGGCACAATATAAAATAATTTCAATACAGATATGCTTTTTTTAATTTCTAATTTCTTAATATTTAAAAACGTGTCCATTTCAGCGATTATAAATTTTTTTTTACTTAACGAGTATATTTAAACATACCTAGAGAAAAGATATAATACACAGGATACACCATCCTGTTCAAAACCACAAGAGTCTATAAACATGACTTCAGATCTACACATTTTGTATAATTATATTGTTATTTTGTTCCTTTAATTTAATTTAATTTAAACATTATTTTATTATGTAAAGTAAGCTTACATAATTGGATTGGACATCAGGCATGGCCTATATAAGTCCTCTCCAAGGTCAAGGTTACAAGGTTCCTTTAATTGATGGATACTATACAAATAATCCAAACGTAGACTGTTTAAACCAACGGTTTTAACTGAAGTAAGAGGTAGCAGTAAAAAGGTTAAACCCTCATCTTTTATCTGATAAGTCCCACAGCATGCTTCCTCGCATAACAAAGTAGACCGCCTCCTTAAATGTTTACCTGGCTGTTCCCACTAGAAATCTTACGCCCCACAAAAAACAATACTCCGGTTATCATTGTTTCGCTTCCTGTATGATCGATCATCAGTGTAATTAACGGACAGCGGCTACCTGACCACATGGGTGTGTTATACAATATTTTAGGTCGTATCAGCAGCGCGCGAAAATTATTTCCACGACCGAACATTGATTTTACTCCCCTCTCGAGGGCGGTTCGTACAACAGCGGTGAACAGTTCCTAAACATTTTATTTGAATATGGCGAAACTGCCCAGGTACGTGTTTTAGGGGGTGTAGTGTGACAGTCATTTCTGTGGATTTTTAGTGTGTGTAAAAATGTGATTTCTCTTGGATTGCCATGGTTTTATCATGCCTTTAGGCGAACGAATTGTTACACCTGTGAATTTGGGGAGATCCCCCATAAAAATTGACCATGGGGACAAGCGAAATCTCCAAAATGCAGTGACATCGAACGCCCTCGTGGGAATTCTTCATCAGCTGGCCAGCGTGGTCCGCCTAGCAGACGACATCTTCTGTGACATTTCAGAGGAATGCCAAAAAGTGTTCGAAAAGTCGGAACGTATTAGCAGAAAAATTACATTTGTAGAACAGTTTGTCAAAGACCTTGATGCTAAATCAGTTACCATACGTAAGTTTCTACGAAGTACTATTTTTTGAAATGGGATTTCCTGAAGGAAATGTATTAGTTTCCTGAATTAATTTTATGTTGATCAAAATTCCAAAAATTTTACTAGAGGGTAGAATTAAATCGGTTTCTCATTAGGGAATAGCTATGAAAACAATTAGCCTCTGATTGATTTAACTTCCTACTGAATTATCAGAAGTCAGAGAGGGGGCCAACATACAAAACGGTATATCAGTGATTTAGATAAGGTGATAGGCAAGGACAGAATACACACTCCAAATATAGGAGAAAAATATCCAGTCTGATGATAAAACATGAATCATTGACGTCCAGGTAACAATGACTGGTCCTTCTGAACGGCCTGTCATAACTTTCCTGTTTTATCAGAAAAGATAAAACAGAGTCAATATTGATTTGAGTTTTAAAGCAGGGTTTATTAGTAATTTATGGTTATCCTGAATTCAAGATGATGCAGGGAAATATTGCTGTGGATTTCTTATGCCCCTATTGCCTTACCACAAACTATTTCCAGACAAAAAATACAGTTCCTTTTGTCGATAAGCACCTGCGATTAATGACTTTTAAAAATTGCACACCTGTGGTTATTTTGTAAATATCAACATTTTGCTGTCATTGAGAGTTATAGTCATTGAGAGTTAGTTTACGGACATTCGAGCTATTTTGATATGTAATAATGTAGAAAGTTGCTGATTATGATATTACTTTATTCCTTTGATCTGGTCATTAAGGACAGGTGTTGTATGGGTCAAATATCCAATCACTGACCCTGTTACATTGGCCTACACCAATCATTGCCACCCTTTCTCCTGGACTACAGAAACAATTGGATTAGGACCACCCAGTTTTTATTGTTATTTTTGGTAATTTGTAATAAATAATGAAAAAGCATTTAAATAAGATGGTACTGACAAAAGTTTAAATTTCGTAGCAGAGGTTGCCCTCTGTTCAATAAAATAAGAAGCAAAACATTTAATGACTATGAGAAGACTTAAGATTGGATCTGATTTGAGAAGCATTAGATTTTGAGATATTTAAGAAGTGGTGACTAAGTTGGCCTTGATCTCCAGAAGTTATCAGGTTTATTCCCAAGTGTGCATTGATTACAATCAGTAGACTGCGAGTTGAATCAAGAATTCTTTTTTACAACCCTGAGATGGTACGACTAATGTATTCTATGAAGCCAAGTAATGTTATAAAATTTAAAGATACAAATTGTAATAATTCTTTTATAGTTTAAATTGGATTTAAAAAAATAAATCTAAGTAAATTATTAATTTGACCTGCTTCATCTATCCAAGCAATATATAAAATTACAGTATAGGATTTTAATGTGGGATGAGGTTACAATTGAGATGGTAAGAGAGAGATCTAGAGAGTCTAAGAGGAATTCCCAATTCTTTTAAATACTGTTGAGTCTAGCGATGGGTAACTGTTTTTACCATAACTTATGCTTGTACATGTACATATTGACAAAATCTTTGCAGATATATTTGTGTCAGAATCTATTGTAAAAGCTTAAGATAATTGAATATTTTAAAGATAATTAAACCGAGGTAATCCAAGATATCTGTAGAATTTCTTACTCACTTAGATTGAAGATAAATTCATGTGATTCGATCTGCAGAATGATCCCGCAGAAAAAGCATTTACAATACATTTAGATTGACTTCTGCGCTACTTAAATTAAATTATTATTACTATCATGAATGAAACTGTTTTCGAGAGTAGGAGTGTTTTAATTAATCCTATGAATAATAAATGTGTTCTGCCATATTAAGATGATATATACAGATATTGTGCAATTTCTTGAATGTTCTAAATATCTTCTTTATAGTGATGATTTAAGAGTCTGTGGTTTACAGAAAATTGCTTCAGATTTGTCAATAAGATGAATTAGAACTACAAAATTCCTGTTTATCTTTGAAGTTGTGGCTCACCAAAAGGAAAAATAAATTTATTTTCTGTCGAGGGAAGTTGTTCCTTTGGGTAATAAAACACATCCTGTAGTGCGTATGATAATACACCTGGAAGGAAAAAAATTCAGAAGGCACTCTTTGTTAATTTGTAGCCATCACCCCCTATTGAACAAAATCAACCAATTATTTGCACTGTAACCCTATAACCTTGATCAAATACCCTAGCAACAACTTAGAGAAAACATTTCAAAAAGTTAATTTCTATTTCCTTGTTTGATTCATTGTCCGATCTGTTACCTTGATTGACCTACATTTTGATCGCGGACCAGATGAGTCACGTTTTGGGCTAGAGGAACTCTTACTTGTTAACTATGTTAACATTTCCTTTTCACCTATTCAAGTGTTTTCTCTTTTTTATAACAAACCTTTCAAAAGCTTTGAAATTTGGTTTTAGACATTCGTAGATTAGGAGGACTCTTCTCTCTATGAGAAATTCCCTGTGTAAATATTTGGTCGTGTCGAAGGGTTTCTTAAGTTCTACATCGGATGTAGTACTTGCGTGTACCTGAAATTCGTTAGTATTTACTTAATTTTATTATTATTGGAGAAACCTTGCTGAAAATAATTTAATGAAGAAATTGTGTATGCTTATAACTCTGCAAGGACTAGTATGTTAAATTTATATGCAGATCGAGGGTAAAAAAGTTCAATGACTTTGGTACTAATGGGATCCATTGAAACAATCATTCAAAGCTACCCTGAATTATATTTAGAGATTTTGCCCTATATATATTGGATTTTCATGGAACACTCTTAAATCTTGTAAGATTGCCATAAATTACATACCAATAATGAAACACTGACACATAGTTCTTTTAGTAAAAATCAAAGGAGTTCTTTATATTTATCTTTCTAACATTTAGATTACTGAAATATTGATCTTTTAAGATAAAGGATTTTTAAATAAGCTACATATTTTACTCAAAAAAAATCAAACCAAAGGAGACCCCTTATGATGAACTAAACTTGAGTGTTTTGTTCTTTTCATAATTTACATTTTACAATTTTATCATACTGTAAATACACTTTCTGTCATAATTTATTTTGGTAATTTGTTTGAAGTCGAGAATTCTTTATGTAACATTTCTTAAACATATTGGAAAATTTCTTTAAAAAAAATCCATTTTAAAATACACACTTGAATCATCAAAGGTTCTTTTTTTTTCAATATAGGGCTTGTAAATTACATTCATTTTTAAGAATGGTGCATAAATATTTTCAATACTACTCCAACATATTGATTTCTTTCAATGATTCTCAAAGGAGGCACAGGTTAAAGCTAAGAAAATTCAATATGTTTCTGTGTATTTGTTATAAAGAACTTGTAGATTCTTGGGTTGTAAAAAGATCTATTTAAAATTTTCTTTCGAAAAAAAAATGTATGTCTTGTATTGAAAGGAATTCTATTGGTCCTTTATTAGCAGAGACTGGGAAGGTGCATAGGCGTAGTCACAGGGGGGGCAGCGGGGGCACAAGCCCCCCCACTTTCAGATCTGGGGGGGCAAGAGTATGTCTGTGCCCCCCCACTTTTTAATGAAGAACAAAATCAATATATGAAATAATAGTAATTAATATATATAGTAAAATTGTGTAGAAAAATTGAAATTGAAAATAATTTGCCTTTGAAAAAAAAGTTGGCCGGTACCCCCCCCCCCCCCCCCCCACGAAATAGGATTTTCGAGTTTGGGGAAATTTTTTTTTTTTTGCTTTGCTTGTCAAAGAATTTCTGGACTTGAGCCCCCCACTTTTATGTTTTTTTTTTTTTTTTTTTTTTTTTGCTTTTTTGTCAAAGAATTTCTGGACTTGAGCCCCCCCCCCACTTTTAAGTTTGTGACTACGCCTCTGAGGTGTAACATAAATGAAAGATATTTCATTAATCCTTCAAGTGCACCATAAATCAGATATAGGTCCTGTCTGTGATTTTGAACATTAATAGGAAAACAGAGAATTAAGATTGAACAACTTCTCCAATCCCATTGCAGTGCATATTTATTTCAATTCAATATGTTTAAATCAACTTAAAATAAAATGAAATGTTGACAATGTCTTGATGAGATGTTCTATAAGTATTATAAAAATATTGAGTTCTAAAATGTGTGGAGGAAATATTTCATTTCAAAGAATATATGTGAAGAGCAACAATATGTTTATATCTTGATAAAATTTCGGCTTTTTAGCTTTACTTTTTGACTTCACATCTGGATGATTGAACAAAACATGCAACACTCTATTATTGTTTATCTTTTGATTTAAATGAATACATTAAAATTAATACCATATAGGTGATAAATATCATCATTCACCACTCTGCCATCTAATTAAGTACCTGGTCAGTTGTTGTTCGTGGTCAGTGATGGCTACTTTATCAGTGTCACATCTCTCTCTGACAGAACCTGTCATACACTCATTGTCACCTATTGTGATCAGGTGTCTCTATAATTATTGTCCATCGCACCTGTAATATTACCTGTCGACTTAGATCTGTATCTTGCAGCAGTCTAATTCTAATGCTAATTGATTTTTTGTAAGTATATTGCTATTTGCTAAGCACGAGCAAGGTGTGTCCTAACGCTCTTTTTTGGGGGGGTGGGGGGGGGGGGGGTTGCAATTGGCTGATTAATACAATTGTTTCAGTACGTACTAATATGTTGATCAAGTAAGATTTGGGCTATAAACTTAAATGGAAAATTTCATATAATTTGGTGCAAGGTGTAAAGATATACTGGTAATATATATAGTTACATGCCTATCATAAATGAACAATCATTTTCTTCAATGCTCCTGATTTTTATAATATTTGCAGTGTCTCGGATTCAAGGCATCTTGTAAAAACCTTCATAATAAGCTTCACTTTTGCCTGGAGATTTTTGCTGTTTGTTAAATTTGAGGTAATAGAAATTAAGACAGATTCTTTATATTTGGGTATGTAGAGATGGATTCTTAAAAATACACTAGGGAGATTTTAGCCAGTTCATGTTAGGTTAATGAAAATGGATTCCTTATAAT